AGTTCTTACGCTTTCGGCAATTCTTTTTGTACCAGTTCTACGCAGATTCGGAATAAGAACCTCTTTGCTCTCTGTTTTCGTTTATTCTCATTTAAATTCTAAGTATTTTCGTCATCTTATTTTCGTTGTGCGGTTCTCGCAGATAGCCGGTTCCTCTGGAAACTTAGGGTTTTCCCGAAGTTTCCTTTTTACGATTTATATGACAGTAGGGTGAAATCGACTCCCACAAGGTTCTGCGGCAATTTCCCCCCCCCCATCAGGACTTTGCGGTCGTTTTCAAGGAGTATAAAACCCATGCCTGTCCATGTACCTTCTTGTGCCCACAATGTCAACTTGGCATCGGTACTTACCTCTTTGTCCAGTCACTACAGCTTCAGTTTCCGGTTCTGTTCCAGCCGAGCTCTCAGCCTCCTCAATGGCGGGGATGACTTGTGCTACTTTCCAGTTTTCTGCTTCCGCCAGTGCCAGTTGCAGTGTATCCAAAGGAGAGGTCTCATCTCCGTTGAAAAGCTTATTGTTTCTTCCTTTCCAGATGTACCACATTATCCAGGGAAAGACTTCGATAACTTCCTTGGGTGTACCTTTTTCCTTAGATCTCCAAAACAGGTGATCAATATTGGAAAATAAAGCGTTACGCGGGAATACGCCCAGAGCTGTTGGTATGTTCGATAGAGCCCAACATTGTAGTGCTGGAGGACATTCAAACAAGATGTGGTTAATTGTCTCTTCCTCCACACCGCATCGGAGACAAGATCTATCAGTGGCGCAGTGACGATCACATAATCGACTTGCAGCTGTTACGAACCCAGCAAGAACCTGCCAGATGAAGTGTTTTATCTTCCTTGAAGATCTTAGATCCCACACTTCCTTCTTTAGGATCGTAACACTTGGTTCCTCCACCATTGGTGTCATGGTCTCTTTCCGTTTTTCATTTATCACTTCATAACCAGGCCTTACTGTATACGCACCTGACTTCGTATGTTTCCAGATATATCCATCTTTTCTCCCTAGTCTACTCGGTTTAAGCATCATAATTTTTGGTACGTCTTCAGCTTGCACTAGAGCACGAATGAGTGGCTCGTTCCAGGCTTTTGTTTCATGAGTAATCAGATGATGCACTTTCAGATCACGGTCATAGATCTCACTCGCTGGAATTGCAGGCCTCGCAACCTCACCTGGTATCCAAATATCTTCCCACACACTTTTGTCTGCTCCTGTTCCAATTGAACGTTGCAGTCCCTCACTCAAGACCGTTCGCGAGGTCCATAGGCTGCTCCATCCATATGATGGATTATTGGCTTTCCCAACCCACAAAGGGTTCGAATGACGATAGTATCGCCCTTTCATGACTCTTGTCAAGAGAGACTCGGGGAATATCAGCAGACGTCATACATGTTTGGCTAGGAGAGCTAAGTTAAAGTCCCGGGAGTCTCTGAAACCCAATCCGCCCTTCTCTTGTGGTACTCATATCTTATCCCAGGCGACCCAATGAAGGCCTCTACTATTGGCTTTGGCGCTCCACCAGAATTTAGAGACAGCTCCCGTGAGCTTTTTATGGGTCTCTTGCGCCAGTAGGTAACAAGACATAGTGTAGGTTGGAACTGGTTGAGCTACTGATTTTATCTGGACTTCTTTACCGCTCTTCGAGAGATACCTGGCATCCCATTTTTCTTTATTCAGTTGCTGTCCTGAGGCGTACCCATAAACGTCAATGATCCTCATTAGTTATTGACACTGACTCGTCTCCGCCTTACAAAAGAAGAGGCTGTCGTCAGCGAATAGTAAATGAGAGACCGCCGGGCATGATCTAGCTATCTTGAGCCCCGTGATTTTCTTCGTGCGCTCTGCTTCTCGAATTTGTGATATCAACACTTCTGTGCAGAGTATAAATAAAAACGGCGATAGAGGATCGCCCTGCGGAGTCCCCGGGAAGGAAAAATGCTGCCCTTTGCTTCCCCATTAATTAGCACTTGGTATGTCACCGTCGAGATGCAGTTCATGATCAGGTGGATCCATCTCTGGTCAAACCCCATCCTCTCCATCAGTGCTCTTAAGAATCCCCATTCGACCCTGTCGTATGCCTTGCTCATATCCGTCTTTATGGCAATATATTTCGATTTATAGCTTTGGTTCGTCCTAAGGGCATGAAACATTTCCTGAGCCACTAGGATGTTATCGGTTATCATCCGTCGAGCCACAAAGGCTGATTGAGTCTCAGAGATAAGGTCTGGTAGGATTCTTTTCAACCGGCTCGACAAGATCTTTGAAATAATTTTGTTGCTGACGTTACATAGACTTATGGGACGGAATTCGGTCATAGAAGTGGGTCTTTCAGTCTTTGGGATCAAGCATATGTTCGTCTGATTTATCCTTTCATCGAATTCTCCAGTATCAAAAACCCCATGAACCATGCTCCTGATTTCCGTCCCCACCAAACCCCAGAAACGTTGGTAGAAAAGACTCGTCATCCCGTCAGGTCCTGGGGCCTTCTCCGGGTTTATCGCGAATACAGCATCTTTGATCTCATCGTCTGAAACCGGAGCTGTTAGTAGCCTATTCATGTCTTCTGTCACTGTCTCGGTAATACACTGGATACTTTCTTCAAAGCTGGAGGGTTGTGACGTTTCGAAGAGATTTGTAAAATACTCGACTGCAACTTGTTCGATCCCTTCCTCTGTTTCTACCCACTGTCCCATTGAGTTTTTGAGCTTTATGATTCTGTTTCGAGCACGCCGCTGTTTCGTTTTTGCATGAAATACTTAGTATTTTGGTCCCCTTCTTTTAGCCATATAGCACGGCTCTTCTGTCTCCAAAAGATTTTCTCTTCTCTATAGGCCGCACATAGATTCCACTTAAGCTCAAGCTCTTATTCGGTGGTTAGACTGTCATCATTTTGCGCCTGGTCAAGCCTTGCCTTTAACTGCTCAATTATCTTCGCATTGTTAGATGGGTTGCTGCGTTTCCAGGTTGATATCGCTTTCCTGCATTTATAAATTATCTCCACTAAGTTCGCCTGTTGATTTCGGCCATAACCACCCCATCCCGCTTTAACAGTCGCCACAAATCCTTCTCTTTGCCAAACCATCTCTTATCGAATCTGAAGTTCCGTCGAGGTCTGCTTTCCTTTGATTTTATTCGAGCCAGAATTGGCCGATGATCAGAGCCCCATCTCAATAAATACCCCACATCAGTGTGGGAAAAATTATTAAACCAATCCTCGTTTCCCACTGCCTTGTCCAGCCGGCATTGTATGCGTCCATTCTTCCTCCTCCCAGCCCAGGACATAGAGTTGCCTTTGAATGGAAACTCTAACATACCACAGTTTGCCAGCATTGTCTTGAATGGTGTAAAGGAAGCCTCAGATCTTTTTTGACCACCTTTTTTCTCTGCGTTGCTCGTTATCTCATTAAAATCTCCCACCATCATCTATGCACCAGATCTAGATAGGCTCATTTTGGTAAGTCTTTCCCACACATTCTCACGGTATTCAACCACCGGATCTCCATACACAAACGTAATGTACACCTTATGACCTTCAATCTGTGCTTCTACGTCTATCATACGATCATTAGAAAAAATTATCTCCACCGCAGGGTCATTCATGTAAAACAAAGCCAAACCACCGCTTCTCCCCAAGGTTCCACGGTGAATAATCTATTATAACCAAATTCAAATTGCAAGTCTTGCATAAAATAAAAAACATTTTTAGTTTCTGAAAGAAAAAGAAAACTAGGATTGAAGCAGCGAAGCAACTCTCGAAGGTGTTTCTTGGTCAAGTAGGCGCCAGCCCCTTGAAAATTCCAGGAGATTGCATTCATATACGCTTACTGGATGGTTTCTGGGACACCATCGAACCTGATACACTGGGTTTTCCGTTCTTCAGAGCGGAGGGTTACACCTCATTACGAGGGACTTGAGTTGTTGAACGAGTCGCCGGTAGGCGAAGTTGTTGCGAGGTCTGTTCTTTGGAAGGGAGCGGCCAAGAGCTGCTAGTTTTTTGGATGCTGCTCCTCCTTTCATATCAGGGCTCTTGGTACCTTTCCTCGATTTTCCTATGATACTTGCATTCCTATCATCGTCCGCTTCTTCTGTAGCTCCCTTCAGCGGCTTGGAAGTGCTGGCTCTTGCGAGGGCTCTATGGTGCTCCTGCTGCTTCTTTTCTTGCCTCTTTCCTGGTCGTGTTGCTACTGTTATGCCTACATCCAGGTTGTTTGTTCTTATATCAACTGTATCAGGTGCATCATCACTTGGGGCGATCATGTCCTGCTTTTTCTGTTGCAATGTGGGACCAGTATCACTTGCAAGCCTCTTCCTTTCAAGCTCTTTCTCCTCTTCTTCCATCAGATCATCATCATCCAGCATTTGCAGGTCTTCTTCAGTCCCTATACCTGGTTCTGTGTACTTCTCCACCAATTCCTCCTCATCCATTGATTCCCCGTCTTCCTCCATGAGATCCTCCTGGTTATTATGACTTTTTGTACCGGTTTCATCAATGTTGTTTCTAGCTTCTGGCTCCACAGACTTTTTCCCAGCGGGCACATGTTCTCCATGGCTTCTCGGGGATACTCTCTCCTGAGCTGACATCTCCATTCCCTGGTTTATCTCCATCAATTGCACTGGTTCTCTAATTATTAAGGTTCCGCTTCTTGAAATTGGTCTACCTGGAACCGGGGTCTCATCTTGAGCAACTGCTTTGCCTTTTAGCTTTCTTTTTTGTTCTTCTTCGGACCCCATAGACTCTGGTGCTACTTCCTCCCTCCTTCTGTCCTCTGTCTGGGTTTGATTTCCCTGACTCTTCCTAACCGGTCCCCACTCCTTTATGTATCGCTGGGGTGAGTGTCGAGACTGAGTCCTCGGGTAATTCCTATCTTTCGGTTTTGCATATTGCACGGAGATTGTGCGTTGTGAGTCAGGGGAGTGGCGTCCCTGGGGGCTATTTCGAGTAGCGCTCAGGGAGTCAAGATGTAAACTTCTATTCTGCGGGCTCCTCCTCTCCGAGCCATTACGGTTCCCGTTCCCATATGACGAGTTGGTTCTGGCCCTTGGGTATTCTCTTTCCTTAACTCTATAGTCAGAGTTCGTATCCCTTTTTTATGGGTGGTACCTCTCCCGATTTCGGGGATAATCAGATGCAATAGTATTCTCAAGTCTCTTCCAGACATCTTTACTCTGAGATTCCCGCCGTTCAATGAGCCTGTTCCTGAGACCACACATGTCATTTTACTAAGGTTTTTTAACATTTTCATATCTTTTTTGTTTTTTTAAAACCAATTATTTTATTATAAAATAAATTATTTTTATTTTTGATATGAATATCTATCATTTTAAATTCTCTATCAACAGAGACTAAGTTTATTTAATTTGGATATTTGAAAATAATCATTAATTCGTAAAATATGGTGTTGAATTTTATTAAACAAAACCATTGTAGTGGATAAAAGTTAAATATGTATTGAATGATGAGATGGAAAAAAAGAAAATATGATGTGGAATGTAAAAAAATGAAGTAGATGGTGTTGAATCTTGAAACCATTGTACATAGTCTTAGGGTAAGGAGAGAAAGATACACATGTATTTAAGAATACTAATAACTAGATGATAACCCGCGCGCATTCGTGGAGTGAACTTTTTATACTAATGCTTGTATATTAAATGGTTTTCATTTTACAACACTACAGTATTTATCGATCGTAAAATGACGAATACACATGTTGGTATCTTACATTATCATAGGCCTGGACGTTTGGGGCCTTATTAGTTTCAGTTTGATTGAGACATATTTCAGATTTTGGTATTATGCTCATAAGTCTCATTTGATTTTTACTAATTATTGGGTTGGATTTGGTTTGATTCCTTCCCAATTCAGTTTGAACTGGATTGTAACCGATATCTGAAATCATCCCAAAATATATTTCTTAAACCTTAAAAGTTGACAAAAAAATTCAAAATATCAGTATTATTAAAGCAGAAACACCACAACTTATTCTAAGTAAAATTTTTAAGTTGGACTTCACATTATTAATGTAATATTATATGTCTAAGTAGTCTAATTACAATATAATATGATATTTCGTGGATATTTATTTTATAGGAAGTTATTAATATTTCAGTATCTTATAATTAATAAGAAGATAATTATAATTCACGTTTAGGAAGTTAATCATATATCCGCATGTAATGAATAAATAACATTTAATTTAGATATATACCTTCTTATTCATTAGGAAAATCTCCGGTATATGTTTTTTTTTAAACAGAAAATCTTGGTTACAATTAATTATAAATAACAATTTCAATCTTGTAGAAGCACCGTAGCCTAGTGGTTAAGGTTTAAAGGCTTCTACACCAGGTCGGGGGTTCAAATCCCAGGCTATGCAGTTTCTACACCAGGAGGGTTTCAATTCCCGAAAGTGGTGAATGGCGAATTATGCAGACTGGAGAAAAGACTTACAAGAGATCTTCAGCATGGCGCAAGGCGTACCGTCAGGAAGGGATCTCATAGGGCGGCTCAAGGTGATGCAGTCAGACGTGAATCCGCATAAGGCAGGTAGAATTGTCGGCTCTAATATCGTCTATGTAATATTTCTCATAATTTGTAATGCATAATTATCCAGTGTTAAAAAAAAACAATTTCAATTTTTAATAAATAAGGCTTATGTTTACTTCAGAAAAAAATATAAATAAGAAACAAAATAAATTTACTTGGATACAAAATCATATCATATTAAAGATCTATAGTGAGATATGTCAATTAAAATTTTTTTGTAGTCTACGCTTTAGATTTTTTCTTATATATATATTATATTTAAATATTTGTGGTAGAACATGTCATTCAAATAGTTGTTGCAATTAACTGACAAGATATCTTCTCTTTTAATTTCATGCATTTGGTATTTAATGTTTATATCAACCAAATTTATTTTGCAGTCCCCTCGCGCATTATTCTCTTTTTCTTTACTAACAAAATATTACAAAAATAATCTTACCTTATAAGCATAATATTTAATGAGCATTTATTAAAGTATATCCTATTTCAAAGCTTCTTGTGAACGCTAGGTCATTTATAAAAGTTTACCAATTTACTATAAATAAGACATTCTCAGCAGAGAAACGAAGTCACTGAACTTTTATGATGTTATTTTTTATGTTTTCGATTTAGTAAAATTTATCTTATTTTATAATGTTAACTTTATATATATATTTTGTTTACTGATTCTAGTTTTGGTTTATGTGCTGATGAACTATCATAATGATTCCTCTTTTGAATCATATGATTTGATCATCTTCGTTTTCTTTAATTTTTTTCCTGTGAACTAAACATTTGTCTTCTTTTTTTTGGACGAACTAAACATTTGTCTTCTCTATAAATCTCAAGTAAATTCATTATCTTCACATTTCATATTTATTTTCTAGGTTATATCTAATCATGATCATTTTAATGTCACAGATTTATTTCATTGAAATAGCTATGGAAAAAAATAGTCGGCACAAGAATCCAAAATATTTGATATCAACCTTCAACACTGGATTGTATTGGTACTTTTCTTGACTTCTATTTTCAATTTAATAGTAGTATGACTTAGAAAACAAATAAACAAAAACCAATGTTTATTTGTTAAATATTTATATTTTTATCTAATATATATTTTACATTTAAATATTTGTTATAGAATATTTCACTCAAAAAGTTGTTACAAAATTAACTAACGAGATATCTTCTCTCATAATTTCATGAATTAATATTTAATTTTTATAGTGAAATCTTCTAAGTAAGATTTTTAAGTTAGACCTCACATTATTAATGTATTATTATATGTCTAATTAGTCTAATTACGATATGATATGATATTTCGTGGGTATCTATTCTTTAGGAAGTTACTGATATTTTGGTATCTTATAATTAATAAGAATATAATTATACTTCACGTTTAGGAAGTTAATCATATATCGGCATTCAACTATTAAATAACATTTAATTTAGATATATACCTTCTTATTCTTTAGAAATCCCCAGTATATGTTTTTTTTTAAAATAGAAAATCTCGATTACAATTAAAACTTTTGATTTGTTATTAATCATAAAGAATAATTTTAATTTTTAATAAATAATTCTTATGTTTACTTCAAAACAAATTATGAATAAGAATCAAAATAAATTTACTTGGATACAAAAAATATTTACTTAAAATTAAAATACTAAAAGTTAATTAATATATATAATATTTGGTTATATTATTACAAATTATGCTTGATGTTTTTACAGTTAAATTTTTTGTGGGTTATTCTATGAGGTGTACAAAATTATTATCAAATAAAAAATAAATTGCAAAAAAATATTTGATCATTTTTATTGTAACATATTAACATAAAGATTAATCAATATGAAACAAATTAAAAAGATTAATTATACATAATTTCAGTTTTAAATCTTTTAAAATAATCATAGCCAGTTATACTATTTTGATTTTCATATGAAAATAATATATGCACTTTGAAATATATATATATGTGTCAAATAAAGTTTCAATGATTGTGAATACATTTTGTGAAATATATTTGTGATAAAAATATTCAACTTTTACCCACTAATTTAAACAGTGCGGGTTCAAGTATAATGTTTCCCACTTGCGTGTCAAATTTTTGAATCAAAAATGATTAAATTCTCAGCGGAGCGGGTCGACACGCAAGCCCATCAATAATTTATATTATGGTACGTATAAAATACTAATAATTATATGATGACACGTATATGATATATAATATTGATTTGAAAAATAAATAGCAATATAGTTTTGAAAAAATACAACCGTGCGGGCGCGCGGGACAGAATCTTGTTTAAATAATTCATAAATCTAATTTAAATTAGTTAAACTAACTAAAAGATATTAAAAATAAAAATAAAAATAAACTACAAAAATCTTTTGAATACTATAAAATATATAAATTACCTTAACATATTCTACTTATTATAATTTAAATTTGTGTTCGGTTCAGATTATAATCAAAACCTAAAGTAGTAAGAGCTCTTAAGTCCAGATCCGATATTTTTATATAACGAATCGGATCCAGATTCGGTTTTTTTCAGTTCAGGTTTAGATATGTACTTCGGCTTAGGGTAAAAGCCCCAGACCTAATGTATAACTCATTTTAATAATTCTTAAGATTTCATATGCACACAAAAAATTAATTTTAGCGATAAAATGACCAAAAAGGACTAGGTTTTCTGCTCTCAATTTGTTTACTATTAATTCTCCATAAGTGATTTAATTTTATACTTTTATAAAATTGTGCTTTCGTTCTCATCTCTATTTCATTGATATGTGTTTTGTTTTTCTTTTTAACTTCTTCTTAAATTTGGTAAATTACATAAGTGTCAATTTAAAAAGATGGACATGTGTAAAAATTAGTTCTACTCCAGATACATATCGAAGAAGCAAATGTTTGAAGAAAATCATCGGCAAACTCTATTCACAGGTTAGTGTTCAAATCTAATATATCAAGCTGTTATAGAATATAAGTTCAGACTCAAAATATAAATGTGTATCTAGTATATATTTACCAGTTCGGTATAAAAATCATCTAATTCTAAAAAAACAAAACAAATTACATATTTTATTAACCTACGCTTTTAAGATTTACTTTCTTAAGAGTATACCGATAAAAATATATATATATATACTTTACCATTCAAATATATTTATATATATATATATATATAAACCATGTAGAAACTAAAAACTGTTTGATTTATTAAATTATAAACCAGAACACTTATAGTAATTAGTTCAAATCTCTCACTCTTACAATTATAATAGTTAAATAGGATATTATGGAGAAACAAATATTATACAAATGATAAAATCTATCATTCTTCAAACAAACTCAAATAAAATGTAAACATATGAATGGTGACACTTTATTGGTAAAAGTGTAAAACAAAAAAATAATAAAAAAAATTAGTATGTGTGAATATGTTATAACATCAACTTTCATATCAGATGAAGTATATAGTATAAATGGATTATATATTTTAATATTTTATGTTAAAATTATTTTATATTTAATTTTATTCATTAAAAATTATTTATGTAATTTAAATCAATAACATATGATTTGTGGAATGGCAGATAAGAAACGGATCCTTTAGATACTAAATTGCAAGTCACTTGACCAATCATATTTTGCCACATGGTTAATGAT